AAGTGACTTACATAAGGTCAGTCAATAAACTGGGACTCCTAGAGCAGAATAGTACTTCATGCTAATAAAAATAAAAAGAGTGCCCCTAAGAAAATCTGAAAAAAAAAAAAAAAAAGAAAAAAAAAAAAAAAGAAAGCAAGGAGGAGTGACTAGTTTTTCTGGATGTTAAAATACAATACACATTACTGTAACTAAAATAAATAACCCTGTATGACCTAATCACCTTCCAGATGCCCCGCCTTTGAATGCTGTCACAGTGGGGATTAGGTTGCAATGTATAAGTTCTAGGATTCTCTACATTCTCTATATGCTTGCAGTGCATATACATTGTCTATACCACAGGTAGCATATAGTAGGTGAAAAAGGCACGCATTCTCCCCTACAGCCTTCAGATGGAAGGTCCCCTGCTGATTTTGCCTCAGGGAGACCTGGATTGGGTTTCTGATGTAAAGAAGTGTAAGATAATACCTTTGCCTTGTTTTAAACCACTGAGTTTGTAGTAATTTATTGCAGCAGCAAAAGAAAAGCAATACAGGATATGCACAGGCACATTTATACCTTATAATCCCTTAGCACATCTAGCAGACATACCGTCTTCTCAGCCTTTTGTAGTATTTTAAAAGATCCCCTGAGTGTCACTGGAACTGATATGAAGCACAGGGTTTGCAGAGATATGCTGTGGATGCCATATCATAGCAAGGGAGGGGCCCTTTCCAAAAGGATTGGCCCAGGCTCCGAGCCACATTCTGTGGAGGGTGGACTGCACAAGAATAGCCTGCACCAATCAGTTTTGTATCTAGAGTAACACCGAAGTCTCTGCTTGTGGAGGAATGAGGCCCAACATTGAGACTGTTGTTACTATTTCTGGATGATGAGCTGTGCAAATCCAGGAGAAAACAATGGTATTTACACGTGGCTCTTCCAGATAAACAGGGCTTCTGCACGTACAATGGCCCTTACGGTTTCTCATATGTACTGTACCCGTCATTATGTGTGCACACAGTTTGTTATGTCACCACTACTGCCCATTCTAAACTTTCCTCAGCTTCAATCAGAGAACATTGCCTCCTTCTGCTTTGTGTGTATGCCATCAGTATCACTGGCCTGGGCGTCTGAGTGGTGCTCAAATTAAGTCAGGAGTGAGTGTGTATGTGTGAATACCCAGACCTTTAAGCAACGTTAATTAGCGCTGCTGAGATAACTTGTCAATGTGAGTGGAAAAGTAAAATGCCCCATAAACCTTTGTGTACCTTAAATTCCTAAAGTTAAAATTTCTGCAATAAAGTATGTATTTTTTATTTATCGTTATTATTTTTTTGTCTTTTTGAGACAGGGTCTCGCTATGCAGTTCAGGCTGGCCTTGAGCTCACTTTGTAGCCCAGGCTGGTCTTGAACTTGCAACGATCCTCCTGCCTCCCCCTCCCAAGTGCTGGGGTTACAGTCGTGTGCCACCACACCCATCTGGCAATAAAGTATGAATTTACTGTTCCACTCGACGATGCTTATTTCCTTATACCTCCTGCCAACACTAAGTATCATCAGTCTTTTCAAAATCTGCCAAACAGTATCCAAAATACCACTGCCATTGCCACCATCACCAAAAAAACTTCACTGTCGTTATGTTTTGCATTTTAGTTAAATTGAATGTCTTGGGATTTCCAATTAAGTGGATTACTTCTATAACTTACAATAATTATAACAATTTTCAGTAATAGAAATAAGCATTTCTTGATGTAACTGAAAGTAAAAGGTACTACGGTCACAAAATATCCTGAATCTCATTATAAAAAGACATCAAAGTCAACTTCTTTGTTCCTGTCTTTTTTTTTTTTTTTTTTTTTTGAGACAGGTCACCCTGTGCAGTTTAGGCTGGCCTTTATCACTTACATTTATACCAACATTTTGCTTTTCTAAAGTCATGATTTGGGCCCAGAGAAACCACAGGAAAACAAATGGAAATTTGTCTGCACGCTTGACCCCTATGCTATTATTTGACTAGCCAGATATGCTGTATGTCACACTCAGTAAACAGGGATCATAACACAACACGTTAAAAAAATCCTATTAAATTCCTCTTTGCACTCTATGAGCACCTAATGGCACCTGGAAGAGGGCACAAAAATATTTAAAGCAATGGACACTGACTGCCAAATGATGCATGAACACAATTACTTTCAGCTCTATACATTTCCAGTAAGAGCCAACTGCACACAGCAGGGAACAGACCAGCACGATTCTCGAAAGTGTTGGCGCACTGAAGCTACGCTCCTCCGTGTGGCACCCAAACCAGCCATCGGACTGAGAGTTGCTTCGACCCGCCACACACCGGAAGACTGCTCATTTCTAATTTGTAGGCTACACAGTTAGAATCATTATATTTTCATTTTACTGCTTCATTATCTGATGTAATTATATGAAAGTTTTCCCTTTAGGGAAAGTTTCATAGCACAATTTACTCAAATATTCATGCTTAAATGGCCCTGACACTTAAAATATGGATGGTAGCTATATTTAAAGGTTTTTACAGAATTTCATATCCAGGGTTTTGAAACTCATCTACTCTTTCTTCCTGATGTTTGCCTAGTTGCCTTAAATTGTGCTAGGTGTCTGTGAACTTTATAGCTCTGTTACATTATAAATGAGACTTTATGCATACAGGTAATGTGAGATGAGGAAAAACTGTTGTTTTCTTTCCAACAGAATATAAAAGGCTTTGGAGGAGGGTAGTGGGGATCAAACCCATCATTGTGTAGCTCTAGGAAACTCAAAGTTCACCAACCGTAACTCCCAGTACACAAAGTGTCAGAACCTCCTTGAAAGTTCACCTTAGTCATCCTGTTGGTTAGAACTTCTTCTCCAGGCCAGTTCTGAAAACTAACTTGTTATCAGTTGACAACACTTGGAGATGAGTAGAAAAAGAGTTCAGCGGGGGAAATTTTCTCAAAACCAGCAGGACCATCACAGGTGAAGAAAACAGTAGACTGGGGAGCTGACTGAAACACTGGGTAAACAGAAGATGCCTACAAGATGGAGCAACAACAAAAAAATGCAACTTTCAAACATTATGTTGCATTGATACACGGTATTACGCTGTTTTATTATGAGCAAGAACAAAGCAGTGGCATAGGGTGTTGGTTGTTGGCTTCCTAGATGTTCTAAGCACAGCTGTCAGGGAATAGGGTTAAGGCAGGAAATGAGATAAACTCACACATAAAACTTGTAGTTACTGTTTAAGCCAGGAGAGTAAATTTCCACAGTGAGAGTAAATTTCCACTCTAAAAAAGGAAAGTTGCACAATCCCCAAAATGCCAACGTGACCCTATATTTTAACAATATTCTCTTGGTTAGAGAAAGAAAAAGTAGAAAAAAGTTTTGCAACTTTGAAAGTTACACAAGACATTGACTTAATTTTTATGGTTTTCTTAAATCAGATGCTTTTTAAAAATCTCTAATTAAATTTGCCCCCATTATATAATTTTTTATTATTATACCAACCAGAGATATATAATCGTTACTCTTGAAAGATAAGATTCTAACATCAGTAATCCACAACTGATTGCAATCAATTTAACAGTAAAAATGAAGATAACTTCTCTAAAAAGCTTGAATCTTCCTAACAATTTATGGAATTCTCAATTTATAGAAATTTAACCTAATGTGCAAGAAAAATCTACTTTGGATAATTTTGAACCATCCATCATTTCTTAAAGAATAAGGCACACTATCACTAGCATTATAAATCACAAATCTGTATAAAAATCTGACGACAATAATGGCACATGTGCCAGAGCAAAGGCAGGTGCTCTAGAGTACTGACTTTAATACCAGAGTAACACAAAACTTGTGGTTTACAGCAATTAAATTTTCCTTCTTGGGTAAGGTTTATTCAATGTAACAGATCAGTCTGAAAGTACAAGGGAAAAAACAAAGACTTTTTCCTAAATCTACTTTATTTTAACTATTTCAAAAAAAAAATGTGCTTTGTATCTCAGTATCAAACAGACTTTTATTTATTTATTGGTCCCGGGCATCAAACTCAGGACCTTGTGCTTGGCAGGCAGGCACTTATGCCACTGAGCTATATCCCCGGCCTCAGACAGACTTTTAAACAATGACTTACTTAGTGTGATACTTTAGAACAGAGTGTAAACAAACCAATAGCAATTAAAATAACTTTAATGGCACAATCTGGAACTTACATTTGAAATGGTATTATTGATCATTACTTTTTTTGTGTGAATTCAAATTCAAGTATCAATATTTTGTTAATGCTATTTGTAACAAACACTTCATTAAACTTAGTTATATTTTTTAAAACAATTAAAACACCAACATGAGGTTCTTGGGCAAAGATACTAAAAAAATACAACTTTGGTGAAATTAACTATAGCAAACATGTTATAATCATTTCCTAAATTGATTTTTGGAATCATAACCTAGAACTAATGTTATTACAATGTTTTATGAATACATTTGCAAGCACTCTGAAGTAGATTTTGCCAGTAACCCCTGAAGTACTTTGCAAATTAAATTCAGTCAGGATCAATATAAATTAAACAAATACATGCCAGCCCTCACTGTACATCTTATTCATGATCTTTGGTCATTTCAAGGTTTAAATATCTCAGAAAAAATGTGGATACAAATATGGTGCTAATTTTCCATAAATTATCTGTACTAAAATTTAAACTTTTCATCAGGAAATGGACTTATTACATGTATAGTCCCAGATACTAATTGGATGCTAATCTAACAAAACTATTAGTAACATCAGGTAAACACAAACAGCAATGAAAATATATCATGGACTAAATCAAAGTCTAATATCTTACTAGAGTGACATAGAAGAAAAGTAGAAGTGTAACAAGTATAATTTAAAAATTATACCTGTTTTCTGAGCCAAGAGGAATCAGGAATCATAAAATTTTAAAAATATAAATACGGGGGCCTGGGGATTTAGCTCAGCGGCACAGAGCCTGCCCCGCAAGTGCAAGATCGTGAGTTCGATTTCCAATACCAAGGGGAAAAAAGTATATATATAAATACGTAACTTTGATTTATAAATTTGTTTTAATACTTCTACCCTTTATTATCAGCATTTGAACCATGTGCTTCTCCAAGAGTCATATAGTTACTTCAGACATCCATACGAATTCCATGATTTGAAGACATCTTTTGTCTGGTCCCTGTTAGACACATAATGAATGAACAGACGTGAGGTAAAGATGACGTGGTTATTACATAAAGCCAGAATGGCACAGGAGAAGTTTTTCCAAATGGGCATATCCATAAGCCATGACGAATTCCATCTCGAATGTGGTGTGAGGTCCAAGATATAAATAACATCCAGGGAAGAAAGTACCATGAGTCTTTGAGCTTGAAAAGATGCATAATACACTTCAGGGTCAGAGCCGCAATAGGTATCACAGTAGAACAGTGAAGGATAGGTCTTCGTGGAAGTGTCAAAGCAGCCTGGTTGAGGGGAAGAAGAGCTAGCATTATTTCCTTCTTGGAAAAATAATTTATAGCTGCTGCTTAATGTTTTGATATATCAAGAGTTTGTTGGAAACATAAGACACACAACATCTCAGAATATATACAGTATACCAAAACTATATAAAGCAAAGAAAATAAAAGTGTAAGCAAGATATTCTTTGCATGAGAAATGAGATTAATTTTTAAGTTTCCCACAACATGATCATAACTCATACTCTAAATATATTGTTTATGTAAAGTAAAATATTTTATGTATTTAATTAACATAATTTTACATATTTATGAAGTAAGGTGTGACATTTCAATACATCTATACAATGTGTGATGGACAGAGAGGGTAAATGGCACATCCATCACCTTAAATGTTTATCATTTCTTTGTGCTGAAAACATTCAAAATCCTCTCTAGGGGCTGGGGATTTAGCTCAGCGGCACAGCGCCTGCCTGGCAAACACAAGGTCATGAGTTTGATTCCCGGTACGGGAAAACAAAAACAAACAAACAAACAAAAACAAAAACAAAATCCTGTCTAGTAGCTATTTTGAATACACAATTAATTACTGTCAATCACCAGTCTACTGTGATATATGGAGCATTAGAAGCTACTGAACTGCAACCCTGTACTCATTAAACATCCTTTGTCCATCCCAACCATCACCTGTATTTATAAAGAATTCTCTGGAATTTCTAAAAGCATTACAAAAAAACTCATAACCAGTACAATATTCTTTGATTAACTCCATAAAGTTAAGAAGATTTGTTAACTTTTTAAAATTACTGCAAAAAATATACTATTTGAAGAAATTGAAAATTTTGCTCAACCCATGAATGGTCCGTGAGGTTTTGTTCCCATCTACTTTAAAGGCTGATTTACAGACAGATAATTCATAATAAAGAGAAAGTTGAGAACATGAGTACAGCTGAGAAGTTGGGTGCAGTGGGGTACATGTCTGTAATAGCAGAAATCTGAGGGGCTGAGGCATGGGCAACGTAGCATGACCCTGCCTCAAAATAAAAAAGGGCTGGGGATGTAGTTCAGTCTGAGGGCCCTGAGTTTCAATCACAGTACTAGAAAGGAAGGATGGATGGGAGGGAGGGAGGGGAAAGGAAGGAAGGAGAGAGGAGAAAAGAATAGAGAGGAGGAGAGGAGGCAGGAGCAAAAGAAAGGAAAGAAGAGAAAAAGGAAAGAAGGAAAGAAAGTGAGAGGGAGAGAGAAGAGGAGGAGGAGGTAGAGGAAAGAAGTGAGGATAGTGATGATTGTCTAAATCTGAATCTCTCTACATAGCCTCCCAAAACTTACAGAATAGGAAAGACATGTGAAACTACACAAATCCCAAGACCCTCAGAATAGCTAGAAATCAAAGAATGTTCAAACTTCATATTATCTGTAAGTATTAAAACAAACACCAAATTAGTGAGCTCTCAAGCTCATGAAATTACCACCACAAGACTGGAAAAACTGTGTTGAAGAGAGAAAGGAAATCTAAGATGGATATGAAAAAACCCCTAGAAAGAGGAAGTTCAAATTAAGTGTGAGAACATTGGAAAGGGTCCTGGTAGATCATAGCATTGACTGCAGAGGAAAGATTTATAGGTGTGCATGACTAAAGGCTTTGAATGGCAGATTCCAAAAAAGATGGTAAAGTGAAGGGAAAGGTGCCTTTTGGAGATTGGGAGATGCAGGAAAAAATAGTGAAAGGAAAAAATTTAGTTTCCTGACACCCCCCCCGCAAAAAAAAAGGAAAAGAAAAAAACCTGGACACATGTCTTCCCACCACCACATAAAAAAAAAAAGTCATCCATTAGAAAGACTGTACCTTGACACATTGTCAAAGTAGACTACTATTTAGCGGGGAATCTTATAAACTCACTCCCATCAAACTAGTATTCTTTAATGCCCACCTGCTGACAACATCAAAGAGTTTACTCTACACTCTTCCTTTCCCCTTTCTTTCCACATTTTAGGTGTTTTAAGTCTACTCCAATAGAATACGTAATATTCTTGTATTATTATTCTACTTGTCCCCATTTTTGCTTTTAAACTGTATATCTACAAAAATTAAGGTCAGCATCAGTCCTTTTGTGGGCATTCCCTTAACTAAGAACGTCTCTAAAAAAGGATTCATGTAATATCTTGAAGAGAAGTGATGAAATAGACTAAATCTTTTTTTTTTTATGGTTGTTGTAGGAAACACATAATAATAAACATACATTATGAAATAGGATAGGAACAATACAAACTTAACACAGTTATGGATAGATTAGTAGGAAAATATCAATGGCTGCTGTAATACGTGGTGGTATCTTCAAAGTGGTTTCTCAGGAAGACAGAGATATGCAAGAAGGATCTAATAAGTAGTTACAGCCTAAGGGTTGTCAAAAATAGCATATTACCTCCTCACCAGTGACTCCTTTCATTGAGGTATGAAAAAAAAAACCAAACCAAAACAAAAACACCCAAGCATAGTTAATTACACTCAGCATAGAAACAAAGATAAAAATAATCTAATAAACGGCTATGCTGCAATGTCCCCAAGAAACAACAGTTTAAATGAAAATTTAGTAAGACATTTTGAAAAAAGACAGGAAAACAACTGAAAGTACAAAAATGAAAGAAAGAGGGAAAATAATGCTGAAATGGAAGACAGGCAGAAAAGATACAGCATATGTATAATTCAAATCCCTAAAGAAGAAAAACAAAAGAGTGGGATAGAATTAGTATTTAAAGTTATACTCAAAGAAAACTCAGAAAATAAAAGGCTTGAGTCTACATATTAAAGAGTCCAAATTTAAAAACTGACTCAATGATAAACTTAAAGACAGTTTAGTCAAACTATTAACATACAGGAAAAATTATTAAGGCCTCCAAGCAAAAAGATCAAATAACATATTAAGGCAAAAAAAACAAACAAACACATATTAAGGCAAGTATATTAAATTAACATCAAGCTTCTCAAAAACAAAAAAAGAAAGGCTGGGGATATAGCTCAGTGGCATAGTGCCTGCCTGGCAAGTGTGAGGTCGTGAGTTCAATTCCAGGTACAGAAAAAAAAACAAACAATAAAAAAAAACAAGAGCAAATAACAAAAAACAAAGTGAGGTAACAAAGGCACATTTTCAACATCCTCAAGGAAAGAAGTTGTGAGCCAAGGATTTTATATTTAGCCAAGCTGTTCGTTAAATATCAAGGCTATGGTAGCTATAATTTTAGTAATAATATATAGTTCTAATAATGGCAATAAACAGGCAACAGTTCACAGAAAATTTTGTAACCTTCTTGAGTAATCTGTAATGTTTTACTTAATCAAGAAATTAATTTGAAAACCTGAACAAAAGGATTGATAATAAGCACTAATATATTTAAATATAGACAAAAGGTGAAAAATACAGTGGAGATGTGAGTGTAAAAGTAATACATAAATATTGTATAGTCTGAGAAAGAAGAGATAAAGCAACTAAAAATTAGAGAGAAGGAGGAAAGCAAAAAGCAAAAAAAGCTCAATGATTGTCTAGTTCAGAGTTAAAAATACTATGAAAAATGAACAAATCATATAATAAAAGGTTCATTAAGAACATTGAGGTCTGTATATATTAGAAAAAATTTTTAAGTACAAGAGTAACACTAAATGGCTTTTTAAAAATTTTATGGAGAAAAGGTAAAGCAAAATTTTGTAACAAAATAATAGGAGAATAACAATAGTTAATAGGAGAATAACAATAGTTAATACTTTACATGTTGTTATATTTAACATAGTTGCTCAGGGTACAAGATATGGGCATAAAAATTTTTCCAATCAATATTAGCACAAACCTTCCTTTTTAATGAACTAAGATACACTAATAGTATAACTGACTTGCATTTTTTCCCTTTTCCCTACTGGCCTTTCCCCTTTCACCCATCCTAGTTCCTTTTTACTTTTGAACAATTTCTTACCATTTCACAATATCTACTGTAAATTTTAGAACTTATTTACTCTTTCAGTTTCTCAAACCAGGGAGACAATATGATGTTTACACATGTGATTCTGATTTATTTCACTTATGAGTATCGTCTCAAGCTGCATCCATTTACCTAAAAAGTCTCCAGTTTATCCTTCTTTCTGGCTGAGTAATACCCCATTGTATAAAAAGAACACATCTTTTTTATCCCTTCCTCAGTTGATGGGCATTTGGGTTGTTTTCAAGATTTAACCTTTACAAATTGTGTTGCTATAAACATGGGAAGATACCCAGAAGGGGAATAGCTCAGTGCAATGGGACCTCTAATCCAAATTTTTTGAGCAATCTCCACACTGATTTCCATAGTGGTTGGACAAGCCTACACTTCCACCAACAGTGGAGAAGGGTTCCTTATTGGTTAATTTCTTGATGATACCCATTCTTTCTGGGGTGAGATGGAATCTCAGCGTTGTTCTAATTTGCATCTCTTGAATGACCAGTGATGTTGAACGCTTTTTCATATTTGTCATTTGTATTTCTTCATCTGATAAGTGTGTGTACTCATCTCAGATGCCCATTTTTTGATTGGGTCTTTGAATTTGGGGGAATGATTTTTTTCAGTTCTTTATATGTTCTAGAGAGAGGTCCTTTGTCTGAGGGACAATTGGCTAAAAATTTTTCCCACTCTGTGGGTTGTCTTTTTACTCTGTTGATTTTTTTTTTTTGCTATACAAAAGCTTTTTAATAAGATGAGATCCCAGTTATTGATTTTTTTGAAGTATTTCCTGTGCAGTCTGGGTTTTGTTCAAGAATTCTCTGCCTACACCTCTGTCTTCAAGATTTCTATCTACTTTCTCTTCCAGTAGATTTAATGTTTCTGTTTTGGTTTTTTTTGTTGTTGTTGTTTCTGTTTTAATATTTACATATTTGATCCATTTCACTTAAGTTTGGTGTATGGGGACAGATATGGGTCTAGTTTTAGTCTTCGGCATGTAGAGAGCCAGTTTTTCCAGCACCATTTATTAAAGGGGCCATCTTTCTTCCAGTGAACATGTTTGGCCCCTTTGTCAAAGATTAGGTGGCTGAGTGTATTTGTAGTTGTGTATGTATCTTCTAATCTGTTCCACTGGTCCTCAGGTCTGTTTTTTGGCCAGTATCATGCTGATTTTATCACAGTAGCTTTGTAGTGTAATTTCGAGTCAGGGATTGTGATGCCTCCTGCCTTGCCTTTGTTGCCCAGGACTGCCTTTGCGATTCTAGATCTCTTCTGGTTTCAGATGAATTTTAGGAATGTTTTCTCTAGTTCTATAAGATATGCTAATGGTATTATGATTGGGATTGCATTAAATCTGTACAACAATTTTGGGAGTATGGCCATTTTCACAATGTTGGTTCTTCCTATCCATGAGCAAGAGATATCTTTCCATTTTCTGATACGCTCTTCAATCTCCTTTTTCAGAGTACTGTAATTTTCAATATATACATCCTTTACTTCCTTTATTAAAGTATTTCATTTTTTTTGCACGTTATTGTGAAGGGTGTGGTTTTCCTAATTTCTCTCCCAGTGAGTTTGTTGTTTGTGTACAGGAACTCTATTGATTTTTTTAGTCCTGACTTTGAATCTAGCCTGGCTACTGAATTTGGTGTAGAAGTCTTTTGGTGGAGTTTTTGAGGTCTTCTATGTAGAGTATCATGTCATCTGTGAATAATGACAATCTAACTTCTTCCTTTCCTATCCTTATTCCTTTTATTTCTTTCTCTTATGTAATTGCTCTGGCTGATGTTTCAAGAACTATACTGAATAGGAGTCATGATAGTGGACATCCTTGTCTTGCTCCTGATTTTAGAGTGAAAGCTTTCAGTTTTGGTCCATTTAGTATGATGTTGGCTGTTGGTTTGTCATAGATGACTTTTATCAGATTGAGATAAAGACCCTGTATTCTGATTTTCTGTAGGGTTTTTATCATGAACAACTGTTGGACTTTGTCAAAAACTTTTTCTGCATCTATTGAGATGATCATGTGTAAATGACCTTCTCAAATAACAAAAGAAAACTAAAACAATAAAATGTCAAAGATAATACTTCATATAGAGATAGAAATACAGCAAAAATACAATACACATAATCACAACATGAAATAATGGCTGAATTTTGACTAAATAAATCAATCATATCTATAAATATGAATGTATTTATCTCTCATTAGAAGAAAAAGGGGCTGGAGATTTAGCTCAGTGGCACAGTGCCTGCCTGGCAAGCGCAAGGTCATGAGTTCGATTCCCAGTACCAGAAAAAAAACAAAAAAAAAAAGAAAAAGACTTTCAATTTGGTTCACAAACTCAAATCTAATTATATGCTGTGCATCAAAAACACACTAAAAATAAAATTCAGAAAAACTAAACAGGAGGATGATATGGCAGACAAATGGAAAAAAGAAGAAACAAGGATGTGATACTGATATTAAGCAATTGGAATTCAAGTGAAAAGCATTAAAGGTGACTTTTAATCCACTACACTGATGAAAATGAAACCTGAGGAAGAAATGTGCTCTGCCAACACCACACAGCCAAGAGTCAAACTCAAGTCTCCTGATTCCAGTTTTTTGTTTTTTTGTTTTTTTTTTTTTGTTTTTTTTCCGGTACCGGCAATTGAACTCAGGACCTTGCGCTTGCTAGGCAGGCACTGTGCGCTGAGCTAAATTCCCCGCCCCCTGATTCCAGTCTTAAGCAAAACCATTATGCTACTTCCTCATAAAGCAAAAGAAATTAAAATTTGTCTTTCATCAGTAATTTCTGATCCCTTTCTCGTTAAGTTTCTTGAAAACTAAGACAACTTCTAAGAAATGACTGCTCCTTGATACATAACAGGAAGAAGTGATCATTTTTCATTCATTCAACAAATATTTACTGAACACCTAACCAGGTGACCCAGGCACTGTCCCAAGGCCAGTGGTTTACAAAGCAGGCAAAGGCTTCGATCTGCAAGGTGGGATCTATGTTTCCTTCCTAAACATTTACAGAGTCTAATCATGCAGAACACTGGCAAATCTTTGCAGTTAGGATATATGATCTGTTTCAGGTTTAGTTCACCTGTGAGGCAGGTCATCGTATAAGCTAAACCCCTGAGTGCCTCAGTGAAATTCTTCAACGTCTCCTCCAGGAACTGTATTCTAGCTAGTCCACTGAAACACATGTCTTTGGTTCCCAGAGGGACTGGAGGAATGAATCCATTTATGTCATTCCCCAGTACTGAGAATCATAAAGCTATTCCACTTTCATGGCACACTACTATACCCCCACACACACACACAGAATAAGGACAGAATTTTTATTTTTTATTTTTTTTTTTGTCTTTTTGAGACAGGGTCTCGCTATGGAGTTCAGACTGGGCTTGAGCTCACTTTGTAGCCCAGACTGGTCTCTAACTCACAAGGATCCTCCTGCCTCAGCCTCCCAAGTGCTGGGATTACAGGCGTGCGCCACCTCGCCCGGCAAGGACAGAATTTTAAGTGTAGTCTTGAAGACAGAACACTGATACAGAAAGAACCAGGACAGTGCTGAGAATGACATCCCTTAATTTAAACTAAGTAACAGAGTTTGCAGGTATATCCTCTGCAAGCCAGCACTGAACTGTCAGGCACAACTAGTGAGTGCAAACTGTGTGTGTGTACGCAGAGCTTTTGACAGCAAATAATGTGATTAGCAACACGTCTCTATGCATCTTTGGGGAAGTATGAAGTGCTTTAAAAACCTGAATGAATGGGTTTTCTTACTTTAAAATAAGATGAATCCTGACTCCAGATGATGCTGTGAAGATTAGTGTGATGGTACTAAAGAAATTAGAGATAAGAAGAATTAAACATATATGCTTCTTACCTTTAAAGACAAGGATCCAGCTAGAAAAAAGTGGTCCACATCGATAACAGAGGCCAAAAATCCAGCTAAAATTACTTCTCCAAAGTCAGTCTTCTTCTTGATGCCAGTGACTATTGCCCATGACCACATCCCAATTACACCATGTACTGCATTATCTGAAAGGGCACGGAGCCAGTCATTTTGCTGAATTATGGAAAACTGAAGAAGTCTGTCGGCTACTAGGCAAAACATCCCCAGACCAAAGCTGGAAATAACAGATTCAGTGCCACAAGACTGGAGTAGCGCAGGAGTCTTCTCAGCCTCAGATGCCATCATAAGCAATGTATTAGTATATACTGGGAGCCATTGGGAACAATCTCTTCTTGCTTGTTTTCACAAACAGTACCCTAAAACAGAAAGCAGACAATATTAATGAGGATTATAGACTGCTACATAATAACTTGATAAAACAATATCATCAATAATTTCACAAATATAAAACCAAGTTATAGAAACTAGCATCTCTTACACATTATATATACAGTACAGCAGGTGAACAAGGATAATAGACTAAGTCTGTAGGAACAACAGTTTACACAGCACAAGGAGAATTCCAGAAAGCCCACTGACTGTAATGCATTACCCTGAGGTTACCAAGTCCACCATGTAGTAGCCATCCATTGCATCTCTGTACTTAACGACAACTTGCTATGTGCTGACAGTGTCTCCTTTCTTCGGGAAAACTGCTTATCACAATACCTAAACTTTGGATATTCTAATTAGAATTCCCTGTCTGCCTAGTAACCGTGGTTACTGTAGTGATGAAAGTCACCAAAACTGGGCCTGTCACATATACTCTTCAGAATTTCCCAAAGTGGGGCTGCCGAGGAAAGTGGCTTTTCTTGCAGGCTATGGGCTCCTATATGTGAAACAGCCTAGAAAAATAAAATCTCAGAGAGTCATAAAGAAAAACCACTAAGAGAATCATGAGGACGTCAAGTCCTTAGGCCTGATTTCAGGTTCTCAGAGCTGCTCTATTTCCTGCAGCTCACTCTTCATTTGTAAGCGCTAACCAACTCAATAAACTGTCTATTCATTTATTGTCTTGATATTAAAAGACAAGAACAATTCTGTGTTTAGCCCTTACCTGCCAAAGACTATTGAATTTATTTGTACAGTTACAGTTATCAATATTGTGCAATACTTGAAGATTTGTTTAATATTACTTGGTTTTAATTCAGACTAAAAAATAATGATTTATTAAAAGTGACAGCTTCCATTCTACAATAAAAATCTCATACAGCTCTTTATTTACACTCTAAAACAAATATAGAAGTGTAAAAGATCTAGCCTAAGAAAAGAACATTGAAGAAAGAGGAACTAAGATGGGAGACTTAGACTATCTGATTTTAAGTCTTATTATAAAGCTTTATGCTAGAGTAATCAAGATAGTGTGGTACTGGTATAAAGGTAAGTAAGTGAATTGATGCAACAGAATTGAGGAACTGCTCAAAAGGAAAGAACAACGGGTGGGGGAAAAGAGAAAAAGAAGGGGAAAAAAGATATGTATATATACACAAGATAGCTAAGATAATTATATTACTAATTTCTATTAGGTCATTGAAAGGAACTATCAATGCTTATATTCTTTGATCGATTTTGCATACCTGTACCTGGTAATCTAAGCAACTACTTTGAAGATAATTATATGCAATATAATAACCATTGTTAAGTTCCTATCATCTTATTTTGAAATTCTGTATCATCATTACCAGTTTTTTTTCTCTTTTTTTGTGTGTCTCTTTAAAATAAAAAAAAAAAATACAGTGGGACTGGAGAATTACCAACACATACATGGCTGATTAGTTTTTGACAAAGGTCCATAGATAAGTCAACAGAAAAAAGAATATTCTTTTCAGAATATGGTGCTAGAACAACTGGATTTCTATATGGAAAAATAATGAACTTCTGAGCTGGATGTGGTGGTGCATGCTTATAATTCCAGTACTCAGGAGGCTGAGACAGGAAGATTTCAGTGGCAGGAAGATTGCAGTGAATTTGAGGCCAACCTGGGCTACATAGTGAGTGGGAGGCAAACCTGGGCTATACAGAGAGACCCTGTCTCAAAAAGTCAGACCAAACACCGCCCCCGCAAAAAAAAAACACCAACAAAAATGAACTTCAGTCTGTAACTTACTCCATATGGAAAAACTAACTCAGAATAAATCACAGACCTAGATGTAAAATATAAAACTATAAATTTCTGGAAGAAAAGATAATAGAATACTGTTTGTGACCCTGGATGATTCAGCGTTCTTAGATACAATATTAAAAGCCTGATCTAATAAAAATTTGATAAACTGAACTCCATAAACACTACAAACTTTTGTTCTTTAAGGACAATGTCAAGAAAATGAAAAATAAGACAGAGACCAGCTGTGGTGATGCACACCTGTAGTCCCAGCACTCATGAGGCCAAGGCAGAAGGGTTGTAGCAAATTTGAGGCCAGCCCAGGCTGAAATTTGAGGCCAGCTCTGGCCCAGCCCAGACCAGCCTGAACTGCACAGTGAAACCCTGTCTCAAAAAGACCAACTACAACAACAAAAAAAGCCACAGAAGTTATTTGCAAAGCTTATACTTGGGGCTGGGGATTTAGCTCAGCAGCAAAAGCGCCTGCCTGGCAAGTGCAAGGTCGTGAGTTCGGTTCCCGGTACTGGAGAAAAACCAAAAAAAAAGCTTATACTTAATAAGTACCTTATTTCTAAAGTAAGAATTCTTAAAATACAATGATAGAAAAACAAGCAAACCAATACAAAAATGGGCAAAGGATTTGAAAAAGCACTTTACCAAAGGTGATATGTACATAGCTAATATATAAACAAAATACCGTCAACATAACTATTATTGTTTTTTTTTTTTTTTT